AAAAAAAATTAATGGCGTGTATAATTGTAATTAAAATGTCATTTTAATCGTTGGAATACTCTGTAGTTACGAAATTAAAATATTTTCACGTATGATTGGTAGAATAAAGCGATAAATGTATAATATATTTATAAATTGTAGGAATATGCATATAATAAAAAATAAGTCCTTATAAGTATTGTTATAAGCTGAATTTCTACTGTCTAACTCATTTAAATACTACAAAGCGTGTACATTTTGAAAAGTTGTGAATTATAATCAAGTTATATTGTTAAAAGTTGTTTGAAATTTTTACAAAATTAATGTACTTAAATTAAATTTATTGAATGAACGAACGGGTATTTTTCAATAAGTATGTAGTTTAAAGATAGCAGCAAAAACTCTTGGAGAGTTATGAAAGCCAGAAAAGAAGAAGAAGAAAAATTTAGATTAATAAAATAATAACTAACCAACGAACACACAAATAAAAAAAAATAATAATAAACATATTATACAAAATAAAATATAATTTATTGATTGAATATATTAACATAGAAAAAAGTACATTGTACTTTAACATATTTATTAATATTGAATATTTCTTTTTTTCCAATTGCTTTTTTCGATTTTCATTGGACGACTTCCGACATACGTACCTGAAATCATAAAAATGTTTATTAAATGTTTAAATATTACATTTATATTATAGGTCGTAGCCTATTCGGCTCCTGTTTTACAAAAAGATCAATTCCCAAACGGCTCCCGTCCAAAAAGGTCTAACGAACAGATAAATTCCTAAACGGCCCCGGTTTTGTACACCACAAATTACTTCCCACTTTATACAGACTTAGGACTGTCTCAAAAGAGGTGTGGTTAAAAATGTCTTTGTGTACACTATATAAATTATTAAAATTATATAAAAAAAAGCGTATAGTATAATATTAAATTTTAAATTTTTAACGTTAAAAAAATATTTAAAAAATGTAAAAAATGTATAAATAAAAATATTGTTAAGTACAATTAAGGTACATATAATAACATTGACGCAGTGAAACACGGTCGCGGTCGAAGTCACAGCTAAATCGTACCATAAGTCTGTATAAAGTGGGAAGGAATTTGTGGTGTACAAAACCGGAGCCGTTCAGGAATTTACCTGTTCGTTAGACCTTTTTGGACGAGAGCCGTTTGGGATCCGACGATATTATAATATATATATATTATAGTATATTGTAAATTGGTATACTACCAACTCCTGGAGATTAAAAATATATGCGGAGACTTATAGATTGCAGAAGCAATGTAGACACATAGTTGACAATTGTGTATATATATTTTCAACTTTGAATATAGTGTAACTAGAAATGTAGTAAAAAAATACACATAAGTATTAAAGAAAATTTAATTCAGTATGTATAAGCATAAAGGTATGCAATTAATCGAACATACTATTCTATAATTACTATCACAATTTATTATAAGAGGTCTAAAATGTTATTACTAGTCAAATACATTTACCTTACTTCTGTATATCCAATTAATATTATTTCATTGATTATTATGTGCACTAATTATATTATATGCATTTCTATGCTACATACCATGCAATTCTTTAATAGCTTGTAAATAATCCACTGAATTTCCAAACGATACGAAACCATAACAACCTCGTGACATACTCGTTTCGCGATTTTTTACTACACGAGCCTTAATGAAGGAAGGATACTGCATGAATGCCTTACTCAACATGTTATCATTGACTTCTCTTCCCAAATTTCCCACAAATAAACGAAAATCATCTATAAGTAAAATGTACGGTATTTTTTAAACTAAAAATTTGCAAATGCTTACAATAATCACAATATTTGTATATCATTTGAAATATTACACAAATATAAGTAATATATTTGGGCTTAACGTAAAACATATGAAATAAAATCTGTTTAAAAATAATAAAAGGTGTGATTTCATAAATATTCTCGTAGGGTTAACTGTAGGTACTCGTAGAGCCATAATTATGTTAATAGTAGATATTAAGTTAGTGGCGTAATTGTGGGGGCAAGGGGGGCAAGTGACCCCTGACAATTTTTTGAGAGATAAAGGTATAATTTTGTCTCCCCCCTCAGATAATCTAACACTACAAATAGCACCTTTTATTAATGAACTCTTATGGGTATTATTTAACAATATTGGTACCTAGTACCTGCTACCTACAACTTATGTTAATCTAAACCACAAAATGAGTTAACGACTTATGTAAAATCAAACAATTAGATAAATTGTATAAAATACATACAATAAAAAGATGTTTTAACCCTTGAGGGGGAGGGGTGTCAGGGTTTTGGTAATAATAAATATGTTATATTGCCCCCCCCCCTAGTTTTTTTCCCAGTTACGTTAATGTAAAAGTAATACATGGAACTCACATACTGCATGCCACTTGTGTACTCATACTGCCGTAAAAATGTACAAAAAAATAATATCCATACCTTACAGTATACCACCTTAATATACATCTGCCACAAGATCTTCAAGATCTTCAACTCACCACCCTTGATAACTAGACATCCGTCAAATCTTTATTTTTCTCTTTAATATATTCGTAATTTTTAACATTGCCATCTTTTCTGAACTAGTCTCACTTACTAACTTTACAATTTCTACACGTTCTTTATATTTGTAACCATACCCTTATTCTCTGATCGCTATCTTGATTTTTCGGCCATCACTCGCTTAATGCTCGATGCAAATCACGATTCTTACTGTTTCATTTTGATTCATAAATTTAATTGTAAGCCCTATTATTATACTGCTTAGTGAACTCAAATATTTTAGTAAATGTAAAATAACTTTGGATTTTGCCTGTTTTTCACAAAATAAAAATATAGACCTCGAAAATTTGGAAATACTGACATAATTGATTATTTTGTTGTGAAAAATAATTTCTTAATTTTTTATGTAGGACCTAACCATTCGACCACTGCTCCATAGTTGGATCATACCAAACTTTTCCAGCTGCTTTTCGAATATTCGTTTTTTGTTTTGAAACGATTATTTTGGAAGATGACGATGCACAGCCAGCAGCTGCAATCGCTGCAATTGCTTTATTGTTCACGTTATTCTTACATGTTGAAGATTTTTTTTTTATTCTTATTATTGAAAAAATGATAAATAATTATTAATTTAAATATTATATTTTATTATTCCTTATCTCTAAAAGCTTACTTAGAAAGTAAACCAAATGCATGTTGATGCTGTAATAAAGAATCGATTTTTTTAGATAATGCAATATCCAAGGGAGATTTTTGAGAATTATTGCCTTTGCATTTTATTTTATTATAACTATAACTGTTGTTATTTTTATCTATCTCTTGTTCAAACCTATAAATATATTATCAAATTACAATATATATATATACAGTGGTGTAGATATAATTTTTTTCTGGGGGTATTTAAAAGTAAGTTTCTTAGTGTTCTTAGTATATTTTAAATATTTAAAATGGTATTATTATTATGTCCCGTATTTAATGAAAATTATTTTGTTACTCAATTTTTAATATATACCTAATCATAGTAAAATCAAAATATTTTACTATAATATGTAAATATTAACAAATAATAATCAAATATCATTAAAAAAAAATCTGTGGGGGGGGGGGGGTGGAAACCCCTTACACCCTCTCTGTAACTACGCCACTGTATATATATATATTACCATTACAAAATATATAACTCAAAATCGATTACTTTGGCTATGTAATTATTATATTACCTTATGTTAAATAAAATTACTTATGGTCAAAAAAATGTTAACCATAAATAATTTTATTGCAATTTATGTAAACACATTTAATGTGTTTACTTAAATTGCAATAAAATGCGACTTCTCTAAAAAACAAAAACTGTTCTGATATACCAATATATATATTGTATGTAGATACATATTTATATTATATATCCAATTATATTAACAATTAAGATGGTTGTATTAAAAATATGATTAATATATTTATAAAATGGTCGTTACTTATTAATTTCTTCCTGCATACTTTTAATTTCAACGAAATTATTCATAATTGATTAAAGAATTATCATAGTTTTAAGTAAGGTTTGTCTTAAATTTTTCACGACAAATAGTAAAAAAAAATACACTAAATGAATAAATATTTAACAATTAATCTAACATAGATATATCAATCTTGTATTTCAAAGATATTTAATGATATTAGATTATACATCGGTGAAGCAGGTACGTTTAAGAGAGCATTATTATTGCACAGAACATTATGAATTCACTCATTTAAAATAATTATAGATAAATTATTATCAGTTTTTGATTTTTTTCTTATATTGGTACTGAATAAACTGTATACAAGCCTCATAAAACAAAAATATTTAGCAATTATCATTTGCCGTTATTCCCATGCATTTTAATATGATTTAAATAATTAGTAAACTGGTAAGTACTTTGGGTCTCAAATGGTTTTGATTGAAATTTATCATCCTGCAGGAAGAATTTATATAAACAACAAATTCGAAGGGCATATTCATTGAGTGCAATGAGCTCACACATGAAAATTATAATATATAATACATATCATGTAAAATATGTTTTCATTGTGGTGAATATATCCTGTATAAAAGGGCGCTCTTTGTGGTGAAAGTATTAGTACGGTAGACGGCATTTGGCTAAGTAGACCTTCTGCTTGACTAAAAATCAGAAAGGTTTAGAATTTGGTGCAATTAATTAATAATGCAATAATAATAATTAATAATACAATTAATACTTACCTATTTAGTACCTATAAGTATGAAGTTAAATTATTATTTTTTTTTAAATAAACTATGAATTAGTTAATCTATGAATTGAAATAGAATATCATATAAAAAGGTTAATTTAATAAGTCTTAATATCATTACTTGTTTATATTAAAATATGAACGATTTGAGGATTTTAAATATTATTATTAAAAATTGAAGATTTAAAATTTAAATGTTTATTTTTTGACTTTCAAACAGATATTTTTTTTTTAAAGAAATAGTAATAAAATATTAAAAGAGGTAAGGTTCAAATTCAATATTGATAAGTTTAAAAAAATTATTAAAAAATTATAACCATTGTAAAATTATATTGTTTTTTTTTTCAGAAAAAATTGATTTCGTAATGGATGAAGTTAATAAAACAAAATTATCCTATAATATAACGCCAATCACTGATAATTATGTACCAGCAATAATAAGTTTATTAAAAAATAGTTTTTTTCTCGATGAACCTTTGAATAAAAGCATTGGTTTAACCGAAGAAATCCGATCAGTGATACAACTTGAGGAATATTGCAAAACTTATTTACTAACCGGTGAGTTAGTTTATGGATCATTGCACAATGTTTCGTTAACATCTTATTAGTGATATATCTGTTGATTTAGTTTAATTTGTAACGGGGTTTGACTGTCTGGGCGATATAAAACATACATAATATGTCTATTGTGTAGTAGCCTTATCACGAGTGTGGTGAATAGAACTTCTAATGGAGAACCAATTTGCATAACATATTACCAAAAAATGTACTATTAACTTCATCAAATTTTTTTTACGGCAGTTCAATACTAAATACGTTAACTTATTCAATAACTTTTTTGTAGCTTATGCTGTTTATGGTATAATTTAGGTAGACAGACATAAAGTTCTACATAAATTAAAATTGAAAATATTTATATAATGACATATATTCAAATGAAGTAATTATGGGTGTTTTAGTTTCTTGTAATATGTTTCTTATGTATCATGTTCTTTATCTTTTTCTAATTTATTTATTAACAGTGTAAATTTAAATGAAACAATTTATACTTAAATTTAAAATATATTACAAAAATGCAAAGGTCCTGGCAACGCCATAGTGGTAATAACTCATAACTAAAGTATACTGCTGATGTAATAATGTAAATACTGATAATTTTATAATAAATTTATAATTGTTGTGACACATTCTAATAAATCATATTCTTACGTGAATATCTAAATGCTACCTATTTTTATTTCAAACCATGTATCATTATTATTATTTCATTTATCGTAAAACGTTATGTTTTATAACCAGGAATATCATTTATGGCGGTATCTGATAACAACGAAATAATTGGGGTCATTTTAAATAACATCATGTGCAGGGATGATATAACGGAAAATGAAGTTGAGGTCTTTGATGAAAGTTTACAATTTAATAAGATCCTTATTATTTTGGACAAGGTTCAACGAGAAGCCAATGTATTTGGTCAATATCCAAATGCGAACCGTATAATGGACTTGAAAATTATAACGGTAGATAAAGCGTATAGAGGACAAGGCATTTGCAAAGCTCTCGTCAATAAAACCCGGTACATAATAATAGACAAATATTGATATATTAAAATATTTATTAGGCACTTTCATCTCCTTTCAATCACGCAGTGTAATTATGACTTATTTACAACTTATTTACATATATTTTAATAAGCTAAGGATTATTTTTTAAAACCTAATGTAAACTTTTTTCTTTAAAGTACTAAAAAATTATATTGTTGATTATATGAGCATTTTATTAAACTAAAAATAGCGTTAGATACTTTTAATGTATATTTGGGGTCAAGGGTGTATGTACGAGTACTAAAACCCATCTCACCGAATAATACTTAATGGTTTCAAATCAAACACTGTAGATCGTGATACAAAGTATGGTTTTAATTTTTACAAAAACAAAAGACCAACCTTTATTCAGATTTAACCAAAACCATCGATTTCTATAAAAATTAATATAATTTTTGATTTTAAATATGTGTGTTTTTGACTAACATAAAAAACTTATCAATTGTCATGATATCTAAATTATCTCAAATTGTATATAAAATTTAAAATATTAATAATCATAGGTAGCGTTTTAATTATATATATATGTATATATTTTATGTAGTTTTATTATAAGATATTATTTCCAAAAATCCAAATTATTATAGGGCGTATATATATACTCAACGTTATTGTGATTTCTTCGGGAGAAAGGACAACTTAATAAGAAAGTTGAAGAGATAGATAACGTTCACTAAATTATACTTTTTATTATAAAAATTACAAATTCGTGTTTTAATATTCTGAAGACTCTGGTGTTTGACAAACTTCTGTTAGAGACTGTCAACCGTACGTCATTCATAACCGACAGTCCGATTACAAAATGTAACCACAGCAAAAATAATATTACAATATTAAATTTAAATTTAATTTAATGTTCTGTACAATACTCGTAAATCTAATAACAAATAACGTGTCTCTCTATATACCAGGGGTTAATAACAACGTAGTATAGGTTCACTTTATATTTAAAACCTAACCTAATTGTATAGACTAAAAAATGTTTTACTCAAAATAGTCTTTCTAATAATATAATGCTATATCAATAATTAGAAATCATTTTTTCATTAATATTAATATTAATACTAACATTTTACGATAATTTAATTTTAATTTCTAGGGAATTGGCGTTGGAATTAGAATGTCAAATAATTTACGTGGAATGCTCAAGCCATTTTACAGCAAAAACTGCTGAAAAATTAGGATTTAAGTGTATATATTCACTGTCTTATTTGGACTACGTGAATGAACAAGGTGAAGTGATATTTAATACACAGTCTCCACATCGACATTTTAAAGTATATGCATTGCAGCTTTAAATCATTCAAACATTATTAGATGAATAAATATTTTTAAAGTACATAACTGTATTAAATTATTAATATTTTATTGTGTAATTAATTAAAAATATAATGTGAACATTATATAATATTTTCTTCAAATGATTTCGATTTTTCTTAATGTGTTTATAAAAGATAAAATTGGCCTTTTAAAATAAAATCCTATAGTTAATTACATTTGTAGTGATGTGAAATATCTAGGTTTAAGTTGAGTTTTTTTCAAGATGGGTATAATACTTAAAAGTAGAAGCCGGAATGATATTATTTTGTATGTTCTTTGAAAGTCATATATGAGTTTGTAATCTTTCCAAATTGTGAATCGTAAATGACAACTTTCTTTAGTTAAATTTGTCAAGAATATATCAAGATAAAAGAATATTTTGTATATTAAATACTATAAAAGAGAATCTATCCATTGATTTTATGGATTTTCAATATTTTATGTTGCAGTCAGGGCCGTATTTAGGGAGGAGCTACAGGAGGGTGCTGTTGTCTCGGGCGGCTAATTTTTTTATATTTTCAATATTTTAAGATCTAATATTTTTAAAGTAAAATTTCTTTATAAAATAAAAAGTGTGTCTCAAAATAAAATATATATCGCCAATCACGGTATCACGACGCACACACACACAAACCTACTCAGTAACGGTCGAGTACTGTCGATAGATCCAAAGATTTACAATGTATCCTTATGTTGACATTTCACTTAAAAATGTTTTTGTGTACAGCAGCAACGAATTATTCTTCAGAAAGATCTTTTTCAACCCGCAGAAATTTGTATTTGGTATAATGAGGCGTTTTTTATTGTTGCCCATTGGCAAGGCTGTAACTGAGGGGTCCAGGGATCCGGACCCCCCCCTCGAAATTTTCAAAAGTAGAAATATTTTAGCGGTGAATATAGTTTATTAACTATAAATTGTATTAAATAATAATGTTAGACCCCCCACAGAAATTTTTTTCTAGTTACGGCCTTGCCCTTTGGTGTCAAATTTCTAAATACGGCCCTGGTTGCAGTAGTGCAAATATAATAATATAAGTAATATAATAGTATAAATATTTTATAGTCTGTAGTTAATTTATTATTGACGAAACTATAAATGGAATAACAATAAGATATCTTAGCTCAACTAGTATAGGCATAAAGTCTATAATACTTAAAGTATTACTAGCTTAATTATTCGGCTTCGTAACATTATTGCCCGAGACATAGGATTCAAAGGATTATTACCTTACACTATTTAAAGCCAAGTTATAATACAACTTATAAATAATTTTTCGTCAACTATGATTTGCAACATTTACATTCATATACGTATTCATTTCAATTGACGTTAAACGTGACTTCAATATTTCTTTTAATACTTATAAAAACATTTTAACGGACCGTCTTACCAAAGCAACATAAGGGTACACGAAACAATAAACTTATAGTTATCAATTATTTTTAAAAATTGTCTGAATGAAAAATATATCATTAATCTAATTTAATTAAATAAATACAATTGTTAAGTTGAAGTTTTTTTAAGTTGTATTATTTTTTATTGTATGTTTATTTATCAGTTTCTTTTTTTATTTTGTACTTAATTTTTTTTTGCATATTAAAACATACTTTTTGAATATTTTATTAAATTTTTTAAAGAATATGATACTATTTTAAATTTTTAAAGAGAATATGAACATCCTATTTTTGCAGTTATAAGAAAATATTATTGCGAAAATCTGCTTTTTTAGGTAATAAATTAATAAATTATTAAAAATTTTTCGCTTAATGCGAAATTAAAGATTAGTAATGACTAAAATATGGATTATTTAACAATAATAATTTATTTCACAATTAGACCAACGAAAATTGTATTATAACACAAAAAATTTTTTTGGACAAAACCTCGATTTAAAATAGTAATTCAAGTAAAAAGTAATTAGAATATACAATACAAAACAGTATAAATTAAGTTATACAAAATTAAGCTGAATTTATATCAGATTCGTAATCCTACTAGTGATGTCAAATAATAAATCTGATAATCTTGGAAGTTCTATTTTCAATTCCGAGTCATCCATTATTTTGTCAATTCTAATATATGAAATAAAAATAAAATAATAATTAATAAAATGTACAATACAGAAAATTTATATAATTATATTTACCCCGATAAAACCGAATCAATTAATAACAAGCCTTTCTTAATAAATAAGTTTAAAAGTATACCAGCCTTATGGCGAATACTTTGGTCTTCGTTTAGTGTTATAAGTATCATAGAAGCAACGAATGACACTTGATCGTAATGTAGCCACGAGTTGATAT